AACTGCTTAAAAAAACTGTAGCAGACACAATTTGGTATAAACAATGCTACAATTCTAAATTAGACAGCCTCAGTGTCAAAGGGCAATTGTCAACAAAGTGCTGGTTCTGAAACAAGATATTCTATGATTTACATGACTGTCTGAAACCCAAAAAGTGACAGCGACATATATAGAATATGCCAAATAAGAAAAAGGGGAGTGCATTCAGCTCACCTGGTAGGAAGTTGGTTTGTTCTCTGTTTACATCTGGTACCTGTGTAGATGTAGTTGCCCACTCTTCATTTATTCGACTCATGCCATATTTATTCTGGGTACTATATTCCCTTAGGCCTCATTCATACAGCGTCGGGCCGTAGAGATCCATGCGGCGACCATATCGGGCTGTTCCCAGGAGGGACAGGTGCTGCGTGTGATTGCATGCAGCATTCTGTCCTTCTCTATGGGAGGACGCGGCTGCAGTGGCATCACAAGGGGGGTGCGGCCCGCACCTAGGTGCCAACATTGGAAGGGTGACACCAAAATGACTTGGCAGTGAAATGACGGGCAGTCGGACCGAGAGCCCGACAGTATCAGGAGAGAGGAGGGGACCCGGTGGCATACCTTATCCCACAGGGTGAACGTCCCCTCCTCTCTCTGCCGGCATCCATAACCAAGATGGCCACCGGCAGGCGTCAAAAAGACCACTGCGCGTGCGTGATGACGGCGGGGTGACACCCGGTCCCCGCATGACACCACTGCGTGGCTGTCCCCACATTCGAGCTGCACTTCCATGCGGGTCCGGGTGTCCGTACTCTGACACAGACAGGGTAGATCCGGTCAGCGTCCGAGCACGGACACCCGGACCCACAATTCTGGTGTACGTATGTCAGCGTACGGCCGAACAGGCTGCTGCGAGCAATCACACGCAGCACTTGTCACCCCCGGGAACAGCCCAATACGCCGTGCATGCCGCATGGATCTCTACGGCCCGCCTCTACACTGTGTGAATGAGGCCTTATACCCAAGAAGAAAGACCCTGGAATGTTTAGACTATTTAGAAGAGGGGTGCCCATTAGATCGATCGCAATCTACCAGGCATTCGCCAATGGAAGTCAGCTCGCTGTCCCATGAGCTTTGATTCAGCAGGGGGCATGTGGGACCTCTGCAGAGAGACCACTACTTCCACACAGAGAGCAAGGGTCCTTTCTTGAGCATGCAGACAGGGGACAGACTTTTTCTACCAAGGATTTCTAAAAGGGAATGAACTGTTAGACTTTGCACATGTTTTAAGGCTAACCTGTTAGGCCTGGATTTGTGGGAGGAGTCTGCGCTCCCACAGCCTTCTTAAACCGGGTGCCCAGGCTCCTCTGTACACGAGCGATCTACGGCGTAACCCACCCACCCTTCCCTCTTTTTAGTTATACACATTCGGAGTATGCCCCCTTATTTGGTATACTGTCCAACAAGACCATGGCACACCTCAGGTCAGTATATTGTGAGTGTATGTTTTATTCCCAGGGACAAGTGGTGGAACATCTAGGAGTCAGAGGCTGGCACTGGTGGTATCAACTCGGGAAAGGTTTCTACAGACGCAGGTAAGCAGACTCTGATCACAAATTTTGTTTAGATGCAACTGGAAGGTATTAAACTCATTTACGCTAAATGTTTAAGTTTCATTTACATTTCTAGCACATTAATAAGCGCCTTTTTGTACTCTTTATATACAAATATGTAAGGAAATCTGTATGGAGGCCACCATTGCTGATCTTCTACAAATGCTAGTTGTCAGGCTTTCATTGCTTTTATTCATTTGAGACACTGACCTGGAACAAGCATGCAGGTAAGGAAAGTCAGATGGATGTCAGAAGTCCTAATCTGTATTCCCCTTCACTTACCTCCCGTCAGCAATTTAGAAGGCACAGAAGCCATTGGACAGCCGTGAGACTGGTATTTTCAGAAAGCCTCCACACCTTCTTATCATAGGTTTCCACACTAAGTGCCTCTAAACCCAAAATCAAATATTTTGAGAAATTGCATCTTACCAGTCCCAAGATGTGATGGCTGCATTGGTTTTCCTTTATTTAGGCTTCCCGCTTATTTTCAACTGGTGATCCTGCCAATACACATTTGGTCCTTCTATGTCTACACTTATTTCTCCATTGTATCTATAGAGGTTGTCACATAGGCTGGACTTCAAACCTGTCTGCCTTTGTTCCTCTCCATGATATGGTGGACTGATGATGTGACTGGTAGTTTACAAAAGAGGGATAACATTGTTTATCCCGGCTTCTCAGTTTTGAGGAAGTGACAAGGACACTGCATGTCGCTTATTTTCTGTACTCATTAAAAATGTTCTTAGCCTGAATAAGAAAACGAATGCTTCCAGCACATCCAAGGACTGGTAAGCTGCAATATATTACATTTTTGGTTTGGGGTTTAGATACACTTTAAATGTATTTCTACAGCTGGCAAAAGTACTTGATTCTCAAGATATTAACCTCCTGTAACCACACTCACACTAGAAGGGATATCATTGCAAGCCAATCAGGTTCTACTGCATTGTCCATCTAACACTGGGTGCTTCCTAACAGGAGAAGAGAGCGTGTTGACCTTATCAGCTTGCTATTATTGCTTCACTGTCCAATCACAGGCTCGCAAGTGTCCTATACCAAATTGTGTTGCAAACCGTGTTGCTCCGCTTCCATGTCATCAGCAGAGAGGTCAAGGGGCTGGCTGTGCTATCTGGCAGGACTGCCTGGATTACAGAACAAGTATTAAAAGATAGTGAGCAAAGTGCAATATTTATTGACAACCAGCCAAGTTTTGTTTTACGTTATTAGGGTTGATTTACTAAATGAGTAGAGCATGTTCAATTTTAGGGAACTTTCATTTATCTTAGTGAATGAGGAGAAAGAAAATGAAAAATTCACTTTTCAAAGAATATTCATTTATGGCCAAGGAATTAAAAAAAAAAAAAAAAGAGAAAGTTTTTTGCTTGCACATGATTGGATGTTTGACGTCAGTACAATCTCATCTCATTGGCAAAGCAAAGGAAATTTTCACTTCCTTCTGTGAATTCATCAACGTCGTGATAACTTAAAGTAGCTGTACAGCAAGCAAATGTGATCCCTGCCCCTGCCTTTCATATCAGTGCCCCTGCCTTTTATATCAGAAGCCCCCTTCACATCGGTGTCCCTGCCTTCCACATCAGAAGCCCCTAACACGTCAGAGTCTCTGCCTTTCACATCACAAGCCCACTTCAAATTAGAGTCCCTGCCTTTCACATCAGAATCCCCCTTCACATCAGAGTTCCTGCTTTTCACATCCGAGTCCCTGCCTTTCACCTGAGAAGCCCCCAATAGATCAGAGTCCCCCTGTTTCCTCCTTTATCTCAGATAAGGGTCTGGCATGGATTTTAAGGGGGGCCATGCAAAAACACAAACCCCCCCACACACATCAGAGTCCCTGCCTTTTTCATCAAATGCCCTCCTTCACATCATAGTCCTTGCCATTCACATTAGAAGCCCCCAACACATCAAAGTTTCTGTTTCCCACTTTAACCCATATAGGGGTCTGGCATAGATTTTAAGGGGCCCATGCAAAAAAACAAAAAAAATCCCCCCCCATAGGATTAAAAGGCATGACACTGTGCAAAAATTTGAAGTCACCCCTGACAAAGCCAGAAGGCACCCCATAAGGAACCTGCTTGAGAAAAGCTACACTAGAGTGTACAGGATGCAGTTTCAGGCATGCCTTGCATCTGCATGGCCCCCAGTAACTCCTAGTAGCAACCATAGGAATGCAAACTGACCATGCCAGTATGGATCTGCTGCCGTGCTTGCCGTGGTCAGTTTCCAACAGGGACCAAAGGGAACTGGCAGGATCAGCAGGTATTTTTAGCAGTTATATAGAAAATAAAAACATTAAAGGCTTCATTACTTAATAACCTAACACATGTATGGAATTTTATTTTTTGGAGTAACATACGCTAATCATGTGTGAGCTAGAAATCCTGTTTTCTAATTGCACATAAATAAGTACTCTTTGCAAAGTACATTTTCACTTTGTTTCACCTTGTTCAATAAGATAAGGCTTGGGGTTAGTAATATAATGGCAGACAACCATGGTCAGTGCCAGGCCAACTCTGAAATTACAAGTATCCAACTGTTGCTGTAGTGAATGGGTGCTGGTCAGATGGTGAGAGAGAACACCTGCCAGTACATCTTTCTATGCCTGTCCTCTCTGCCAACAATTCCCCTCTCTGACCCTGTAATCAGGGCCGGCCTTAGGGGTGTGCGAGCCGTGCGGCCGCACAGGGTGCCATGGCAACAAGGGTGGTGCGGCTGTCACAGCTCGTCCTGTGGGCGGCTTATCTCCCCCTCACCGCTGGCCATCCGAACTAAAGGCCTAAGGCCGGCCCTGCCTGTAATGAAGGTGGAGGAGGAGGATATGGGTTAGGAAGCATAGGAACAAGTGCTGGCAGGTGTTTGGTAAGTGTACTGCAACCCAATCTCACCACCGTACTAGAGGCCCTTCCCCCACTCTCACCATTCTGCAGCACAGCCCCCCTTGCCCTCACCACCCGACCAGAATCTCCTACCCACCAATGCTCTCACCAGTTAGCCAACAACACTCCTCCAACCACCACATTAAGATTCCACACCACACCTGCTCCTCATAAGCCCCAAGACCGTGTCCCCTTGCATCAGACTGCCACTACTACACCTACTACCTCATTCTCCCTGCTTTTATTACTAAAGCTGCCACTATACCCCCAACCATGTCCGTTTTGGAATGGACACATTTTTGCTAGTTTTACAGAAGAGACAAGGATCTGCAGTTATGCTTGCTGTAATACTTGTATTGTGTAGATCTTCCAGAGTGATTTTTTTAAAACCTATTGGCCAAAATGTGCATGCTTTTTTTAATTAAAATAAGATACAGGGCAAAGTGGCAAATAAACAAAATAGACATAATAGAGAATTAAAACAGGCAAGGAAACCAATAATAAAAAACTTTACCTGTACACACTTCCTTATATGTGGGATTTTGAGTGTACCCTCCAGCATATCCCACCTGTGTAGAGAAGACACCCTTCTGTTTCCAGAACAGCCGCTCTACTCCCCAGAAGCAGCCCATACCTGAAAAGCACCAGATACCACAATCAGTTTATAGAGAAATCCAGGCTCATACCTCTTCTGAACACCAACACTCTATGAACTCACCAAACATTGCCAGCTCATGACCAACTGGAAATGGCTGAATTGTTGAGTTTCCATTAATCGCATGCTTGGCTGTGGAAAACAAAATAAGAAAGAAAATTTCAGAGACTACGGCAGGGATCTAGCAGAGTCAGTAGGATGATTCTTGGTTACTGGATTATCACAGTGAACTTTATGATCTAAGGAAGTGTGTTTTTCAGGTAAAATGTTGAGAGAACAATGTTCACGTTGATGAACTTCCTCACCCTGCTCTTACCTGACACCTGAAGGGCTTCAGCCCGCCCTGGTAGAGCCTCTTGCGCTGTGGGGAGGACAGTCTTACTAGGCATGGCTGTGTTGTACAGAGTGTAAAATCCAGAACAATTCTGTGTATTTATAGGGTATCATTACCTTGATAGGGCAGAGGTCACTGACACATTTCTAATAAGTAACCAAAGAGCCCTGCTAGTTAAAGAGACATCAGCATCAAACTGAAATGGGATAATTGTAGATGTGTATAAAAGTGTCTGCAAGGGTTTTTAACACACTCTCAGCTGCTATGCCATAGACAACAATACATCTAGGGCCATTATTCACAGTTAGCTCCAAACCGATGGCCTGTAAAAGGCCTTTAAAAAGTCGTCTATAGAAAATTTTGGATCCCAAAGTTTGTCGTCATTTCATGTGCGGATGCAATTTTAAGGATTGACATGTTTGGTATCTATTTACTCAACACAACCTCATCTTTTATATTTTACCAGACACGGGGTAATATATTGTGTTTGTGTGGACTAAATGTAACTTTAATGTATTTTTTGCTGAAGATTTGGGTTTGATAAACAGTTGCACTAGAAACGTGCAACATAACAAAAATTGCAACTGCCGCAATTTTATTCTCCAGAGCCTCTGCCTTCAGTAAATATATAATTCTGGGGGTGTTTTTTTCTCTCCTTTCTGCCTAAAATGTGTATTTTTACAAGTGTGCACAAAATGAAAAAAATGGCTCCAGTACTGAAGTGGTGAAACAATTTTCCACCAATTTAGTGAATTATTCACCACAGTGCACATCACCAGATGATTTTGACCACCTATTTTTAAGTCAAAATACTCATGTTTTAGCTGGATCCACTCTTTACTCCTCTCTTCTCTCCTCCTCCAATGTGCAGTCTCTCCTTGTCTTTCAGCACACATAAGGAAGAAGAGGATAAAACCGTTTTTAAACCTTATTCAAAGCAGTGGGAGCAGTGTGTGACCCCCACCTCATCCGTCCAGAAATATAGCTAAACCAATTCCTGATGCATGGGAGGTAGCAGTGTTAAATAAGGCGTTTGTAAAACAGTGTTGTATAACACATAGGATTGTGACTTTCTTTTTATATTGCCTTTGCAAAAGGCGTATGTCTTCATATAACACATGCCTTGCCGCAGATACAGCTGAAAAGCAGGCTGCTTTTGCTGAGATCTTCTCAAAAAAGCTAGTTCATCTTGTAATGCTGATCCTCTTGCTTTACAGCATAACTCCTGGCAAAAGTGTTCTTAACCCTTGCAATGGGGCCACCCCTGTAGGGCAAGGGTTAAGTGCGTTTTTTTGTCTAGGTGCTAAAAAAAAAAAAAAAGCCAGCTTGCTCTTAGACCTGGAGCATCACTCCCCCCTCCACTTCAGGGGTCTAAGGATCCTTGAGTCATCATGTTCTATATACAGTGTACAGATGTGAGGACGCTGAGGGACATACCATCGCTGCAGTGGAAGAGAAGACAGGCTTCAGGGGCCGGAGAAGCAGTCAAGGGGCTCCAAGCTTCGGGCGAGTATAGCACCTAGACAAAAACGAGCACTTATTCCTTGCAGTCCAGGAATAGCCCCAATGCAAGGGTTAAGATTTCTGATGTTTCTAACAACTTTCCTGATTTGCATACTTCATCCAGGTCAGTGAAATACTGAAGAATGGAAGCAATGAAAACTCAACAAATTTCTCCCAGAATAGCTCAAAACAAGACTGCAAAATAAAAATAAGTCTGAGTAAAGTCAGAACTCCGGATCTAGACAACTGCAGATAGGCAGCTAACATTTTCAGAGAGTCAGCAATAGCAAGAGCTGTATCAATTTCAGCACAGGTTTTCTTTAACACTTAGTGCTACCCTGTGCTTGGACCAGTGGTGGTCAACATACTTGATATGGGGGGCCTCAAGTGTGGCCATTGCCATCTCCAAAGGGCCACACATAATATTCAGTCAATGTAATGCTACAGAAAGCTGTCAGGGACTGCAGACTTGTAACAGGAGATGTTGGACTGGAGATATGCTGCAGAAGAAAGTCGAAGATTGGAGACATCACAGAAGACTGCTAGAGATAAAAGCTATCACAGCCCTTCACAAATCACTGCTTTCATATTTGTGCTCCTAAAGCCTCCCTTAAAAATGACTTGTGCCACAATTGCGATTTCTTTCAGCAAGGTTCATGATTTTAAAAAAAGAAAAAAAGCCAGATTTTGTACTCTATGCATAAGTCCATGGTTCAGATTGTCATGTTTCAGGAAACGCATTTCCAGAGCTCACATATCCCCCACTGCTCACATAGAGCTATGATACCATCTGTTGAAGTACCTAACAGTGTACAGAAATCAAGGGGGGTATCGATTGCCTTACATAAATCCCTCCCCGCAACGGTGGTGGGCCATCGAGCGGATGAATATGGCCGTTACCTGCTGCTCAAGCTGTCACTCTGGGGTAGGACATTCACTTTAGCGAATTTCTATCTCCCGAACACTGGCTAGACTGGCCAGGGTACAGTATTGGTGGGTGGGGACTTCAACCTGGCTCTGGAGCCTGGATTGGACTCCTCTGTGGGCCGCTCAGCTCTATCCTATGCTAAATTACGCCTGCTCAAGAAGCGCCTTACGGACCTTCGACTAGTAGACGTTTGGCGGGTTCTTCACCCATTGACTAGAGACTATACCCATTACTCCACACCTCACCGATCCTATAGCAGGTTAGATTACATCTTTACTTCCCACTCTGCGCTTGATTGGTCCCCATGCTGTGTCATTGACCCAACTATCTGGTCCGACCATGCCTCTGTGACACTTACACTACAGATCCCGCCTCGCGAATGGACGTGGCGTCTCAATGAGTCTCTGCTCGCAGACCCCTTGTGTGCATCAGCTCTTTCGCAGGAGAATGGCCAGTTTCTAGCAGTCACGCGGAAGACCCTACCCCTCTCGCGACTCAATGGGAAGCCCTTAAGGCAGTTCTTAGGGGCGTCCTCATCCAAAATGGTTCCCGGCTGAAACGAGAACGATCTCAGGGTATCCGGGAGACTCACCATAAAGGATCACCTGACCAAGAGGTTCTGCTGCAGATCTCCCAGACTAGACAGAAGCTACTGGGGCTGTTAGATCTCTCCACCCATAGATATCAGGATAAATTGGCTTATCGTACATATGAGACTGGGGATAAATGCGGCAGAGCCTTGGCTAGGACCTTACATCCTAGGTCCACGCACGCCTTTGTGTCCCATATTAGGACCTCGTCGGGTGCGCTGGTACATTCGCCTTCGGCGATCCAACAGGCCTTCGCGGAGTTTTATGCAGCACTTTACAATATAGAGGAGGCAGACCGGACCTCTGCATCTCAGGGGGACAGGCTGCCCTCCTATATTCAGGAAACTGTTCTACCTGTGTTGGACGATTCGCTGGCGGAGTCCTTGGAATCCCCTTTCACCTCGGATGAACTGGGTCTGGTTCTGGGATCGGCGCCGGCGGGTAGGAGTCCGGGCCCTGACTGATTCACGTCCAAATTCTACAAACAATACAAAGATGCCCTATCCCCGTTCCTCCTGAGAGTTTTTAACTTTATAGCTCAGGGATCTGAGTTTCCTGCCCAATCCCTGGAAGCTCACATTTCAATTATCCCCAAACCTGAGAAGGACCATACCCTTTGCACGTATTATCGTCCAATCTCACTCCTTAATGTGGACCTTAAGTTGTTTTCTAAACTGATTGCCAATAGGCTCCAGCCCCTCCTTCCCAGTTTGATCAACTCAGATCAGATCGGATTTGTGAGGGGGCGTGAGGCTAGGGATAACACCATAACACCATAAAGACTGTCCTGCTCATGCAGCATGCCATAAAGTCCAAAACCCCTATGTGCCTTCTGTCAGTCGATGCCGATAAGGCCTTCGATCGCCTAAGTTGGCACTTTCTCAAACACTCTGTTGCAGATTGGCGTCCGACCCCTCATGCTCCGTAACGTCATGGCCCTGTATTCTCGCCCGTCGGCACGTGTCCGGGTCAATGGCTCTTTGTCCCCACGATTCCAAATCTCCAACGGCACCAGACAGGGGTGCCCGCTATCCCCCCTCCTCTATGTGCTCACTATGGAGCATTTGGCTGTTGACATACGCCAGAACGATACGATTCCGGGTCTGGCTGTGGGGCCCATCCACTCTAAGATGGCCCTCTTCGTGGATGATTTGCTTTTATACGTGACTAGGCCACATACGGCTATGCCTTCCCTCCTACAGGAGTTTGCCCGCTTTGGGCTGTTCAGCAACTTTAAAGTGAACCTTTCCAAATCAGAAATACTCAATGTATCGTTATCGGCCAGGGAACTGCACACACTCCAAACGAACTTTCCATTCCGAGTATGCCCCACCTCTGTGAAATATCTCGGGGTCCACCTTTCCACGGATCTTTCTCAGCTGTTTGCCTTAAACTATGACCCTCTCCTCCGGAGAACTGCCCTAGACCTGACAGGATACCATAGGAAAAATATATCATGGTTGGGTATGATAAATGCATTGAAAATGCATGTTGTCCCCAGGTTCTTATACCTTTTCCAGGTGCTGCCGATTGTTCCCCCATCGTCCTTCTTCAAACATCTACAGCGGATCTTCTTGAACTTCATCTGGGGTTTGTCGCGCCCCCGAGTAAACTACAAAACCCTATCTCTGCCCAAACATAAAGGAGGTGCAGGAGCCCCAGACATACGCACTTACCATGCGGCATCACTCCTGCTACGCATTTCGGACTGGTTCCACAGGGCCGCTGACAGTGGGTCCTGATTGAAGGGGTGATCACAGACTCTGACCTTACGGTGCTACACTGGATTCCCCCAACGTCTCGTTCCATGCCCTCACCCCCCCCTATCCCGACTCTTCATGCACTAAGAATATGTGATCGATGGGTTTCACCCTGCGGTATCTCATCATATACCGGGCCCATGACCCCACTTTTTGGCAACGCAGCCTTCCCCCCGGCTCTACATGGATCCTTTTTTGGGCGGTGGAACAAGGACTCACATAGACAGGTGGTAGTGGCTATGCGGGAAAGCACATTTGATTCACCGGCCGGGACCAGGTGGTTAGCAGACAGACAATTCCAATCATT